ATATATTTTTAGTTGTCCAATTAATTTCTTTCTAATTTTAGTAGAGATGGGGTCTTGCTCTTGCTCAGGCTGGTCTCAAACTCCTGAACTCAAGCAATCTGTCTCCTCAGCCACCCAGAGCGCTAGGATTACAGGCGTGAGCCCACCGCACCCAGCCTAAAAGGACTTTCTTAAACGTTTTTCCCTTTATGATGTCATCCTTCCCTCCTCTCTCCCCCCAAATCATAATAAAAATCAGTTGTTCTGTGTTCATTCTCTCTTGCATCTGTTTCTGCTTTTAAGATACGGATTGTGTCCTAGGAATACTTTGATTGGAATTTCTTCTGTGCCTGACATAAATGATTTTTTAAAATATTGCTTGAATAAACAGATTAATAAATCCTGGACTATGAAAGGCTACGCAGGCTACTACTACACAGGCTACAAATAGCCTGTGACTTAGTAATTGACCATATCGGAAAATGGGTTAGGAATCAGACACAAATAAGCAAAATGATAGTGTTAATATTTAAGGGAAGTTTATAAAATTTGCTTAAGAAAATGTTTAAGAACTGAACCTATCATATATGAGTAGGTGCTGGTAAATAGGAGTTAGTCTTTTGTGTTCATTAAAACAATCTTAGATATTCACAAATACTAAGAAAAACTATGATTTATAGAAAGTTTATAACACATCACTACGGTAATTTTTGAAAGTAGTAAATTGTATTTTTAAAATATCATTGTTCAGAACAGTGAGTTGAAGTTAGCAAACTTAGGTTATAATTTGAAAGCCAAGTGATGTTTTGATATTATAAGGATTAGAAAGTAAAAAGAAAAACTTTTATTGTTTCCCGGTAAAAGGATTCCATCTTGTAATTTCACAGTAAGAATGTTTTCATGTACTTTCATTATTTTCAAGAATAATAATCTAATTCTAGATTGCCGAAATAGAAGTCCGCAAAGAAAAATCAACTGATAGTGTGTTTTTAGAAAGGAAATTTGTATCAGGAATGAGTCAGGCAGCACTGGCTCTGTGCCACCTCCACTTGAAAATATCTTAATGGTACTGCCAGAGGGAAAATGCTTAAATATTCCTAAAAGTAGCCAGTAAAATGAAACACATATAACCAGAGTTTGCAGTGGAATAGGAAAAAGAAGTATGGGTGAAATATTTATATTTCTTTATGTTCAAAGCAATTTTTATTTGTTAATTAACTGCTGGAACCAATTGAATTCTAGCTTTTCTGTGTACAGGATATATGACTTTGTTGCGTTCTTACTGTGAAATTATATGATGATAAAAAGCTTTGTTGAGTTATGAGAATTCTTTGAAGATTTCTTTTTAAACCATTTTGGTAGGTGGAAAACAAGGCCATAGACTTCTTTGCTTCTTTACACAGTTGGTTCTCTGTATCCATGAGTTCTGCATCCGTGGATTTAACTGCACATAAAAATAATTAAGGGAAGAAAACACAATAATCAATAATAACAATACAAGAAAAAAATACAAAGGAATAAAATAAAACTATTTACATAGTATTTACATCATATTAGGTATTTTAAGTAATCTAGAGGTGATTTAAAGTATATAGGAGAATTGCATAGGATGTATGCAAATACCATGCCATTTTATGTAAGGGACTTGAGCATCCTTGGATTTTCGTATCCCGAGGGTTCTGGAACCAGGCCTCCACAATACCAAAGGACAACTGTACTTGAAAACTGTAACTGGAATCTTTTGCTGAATACACGTTAACTTTGATGTGCTAAGGTAGTGGTCTCCACCCTTTTTGGAACCAGGGACCGGTTTCATGGAAGACAGTTTTTCCACAGATGGGTGGGGGTTGGAGGGAATGGTTTCAGGAAGATTCAAGCATCTTAGATTTATTGATTTATTATGCAGTCAGCAGTCAAACCTCTGCTAGTGGTAATCTGTATTTGCAGCCCGCTCCCTAGTGCTAGCATCACCGCCTCAGCTCCACCTCAGATTATCAGGCATTAGATTCTCATAAGAAGCATGCAACCTACATCCCTCATATGTGCAATTTATAGTAGGATTTACACTCCTGTGAGAATCTAATGCTATTACTGATCTGACAGAAGGCGGAGCTCAGGCCGTGATGCGAGCTGTGGTGATCCGCTGTAAATAGAGATGAAGCTTCATGAAGCTTTGGTGGTTCACCCACCGCTTACCTCCTGCTGTGTGGCACAGTTCCTAAGAGGCCACAGACTGGTACCAGTCCACAGCCTGAGTGTGGGGGACCGCAGTGCTAAGGTATTATTATAGTGCTCATTATATTTTCGTGTCTTTTTTTTCTTTAGGAATATGGTGTTGGCTGAAAGATGTGTATTGCTTAGTGCTGAAATTTTAAAAAGCCAAAGCAAATATTCGGAGGCTGCAGCTCTCCTAATACGGTTGACCAGTGAGGTACTGAAACTGTATAGTATTTACTATAATTAGTGCTGTTCATTTTTTTTAAAAGATGTTTCTTTTTTCTTGAGAGGGTATATAAAACATAAAATTAGGGG